CCCCTTTTTTTTTTCTTTTCCGCGGGAGGCGGGAGGGGAGGCTTTGGGAGGGTGCGGGGGAAACACAAACTTGAAATAACAGGAGGAAAACAAGTCTCGGTTTGCGTTTCAGAGGTGGGCAAACCTCTCGCCAGGGGCTAAAAATGCCCCCTTTTGCCCTCCTCCCCCCCACCTCCATTTAAAAAATGTATTTATATTTTTTCAATTTTTCCTTTCCAGTGGGAGCTGCTGCAGTTCTCCCAGAAACGTGGCTCCTTCTCCTATTTTGAATGGGAAAAGCCAAGCTGGTTTCCCGGGCGGTGCGGGCTGGGGAGGCCAGGGCTGGGGCTGCTGGTGTGCAACGCGCCTTCAGAGTCTTTGTTAACATTCGCTTTTTCCAGCTGCAGGAAACTTTCCTCCTCCAGGATTTATAGTGCCTGTACGGGTTTATTGAAACGGGGGGTGGTGTTTGGGAGGGGTTGGGGGGGACGGGCGTGCAGCTCAACAGATCGAGATAGTTTAGATTAATTCACTTTCCGTTCTTTATCCCGAGGAGCCTTTTGCAAAGGCAGAAGTTGGCAGGACCTGGGAGAAGGCGATTTTTGAAGCCACAGATGTTGCCTTTCCCTTTGTAACAGGGCTGATCACAGGGCAAGTTAAGATGCAGTCTCGTCCCTGAAGATCTTTATCCACGCTTTCCTGCCACATCCAGCTCCTTCCTATCCAGTTAGATTAGCTCAGCCTCACTCGGTGCTTATCTGTCGATCATTTGCCTATAAACCCATTAATTCGATCTCATTGCTTACATACCGCTTTGTAACTATTGATTTAAATTGTCCCTGAGAGTGTGCAGTGAATTGGGGTAGCTTTATTTAAAGGTCCAGCAACATTTCCAGTTGCTTCATTGTCTCGGGCATTTAAAAAAGCCCTCCAATTCAGTATTGGGGGAAATGACAGGCTTCATACTTAGTTGCCCTTATTTAATGTAATGAATACTAATAATCGACTGGATTCCAGCACACACTACATAGATAATGTAAAGGGACCTGCAGCATCTCCTGGGCAATCAGTTGAATCTGGAACACTGATCCCACAAATGCCACGAACTTTGTATTTTATGGCTTATTAGAAAGCAAAACTAACCTCCTGAGTGATGTTACTTTTTATTCAAAGGTAAACTGAGAGTAACTCTGAAGTCTGGAGAGGGGACAGGAGACATTTGGAGAGGAGAAGGCTGCTAATGCAAAAACATTTCCTGGCAGAGATTTAGGAGCTGGTGTGTAGGTTGTCAGCACATGGTTTGATTGTGAATTGTACCCTTTACCCAAACAAAAATATTAGTGTGCGTATTTAGCAGCAGAGCAGAGAGTCAGAATCTGATCATTTTACTCCTTCTCTGATGCTGATATTTCAGGCAAGAGGAGAATAGTAACCTGTAGAAGGAAGTTGCTTCCATCACATCAACGCAAACGGGTGTCTGGGAGGGAGGAAGTGCTCCCGTCGGTCACGCCACCCCACCCCACGCTGACACCTTCCAGGAGGTTTGGAAGGGCTCAGCCTGGTGCAAGTCAAACAAAAAACGATTACACTTGGTTATCTGGAAAAGTTAGGGAGGCACCTTGTCACATTTTCTACACAGGAGGAAAGTGAGTAAGAATTGCCAGAGAGTTTGGGGACAGCGGCTTTAACTCCTAATTGTTTTTGTTACAGTTCAAGAATAACACAAACAGGGATCTGCCCTTACTGTAAAATAACTCCCACCCTAAGCTGCTCTGTCTAAAAGTGGAAGGTAAACAGGAGAAGAAGCAAGGCCATGCTCCCTTATTCCAAATGACATGAGCTATAGTTTTGTCATTGCCTGACATCACATTATTCTGCAGAAATTTCCAAAATCACATACTTTTTTTTTTCCCCACAGTACCTGTTTTAACGTGGGGGACGTTGACCGTTATTTTCCTTCTAGTTTCAGAGCCCACCATGAAGAGACTCCTGGTGCTTTGTGACTGCCTCTGGGCCTGGAGCCTCCTTCTGAATGCACTGACTGAAAGAAGGTGGGGAGATATTTTTTAATGCACCAACATACTTCAGGCAACTTTGATTTAATATAGCAGCATAAAACAAATACTGCATGGGCTGTACTACTACTAAGTGTATTGGGGGAAGTTAATCCCTGTTCAAATCCCAACTAAATCTAGCTAAGGGAAGACTGAAAGAAAACTACATTTTATTTACTAATATCTTTTTTCAATATTGTGAAGGAAAAAAAAAAAGCAAATGCTTTCTGAAACAAATTGAAACTAAACTACCTTTCAAACGTGTGTTACCCTTTCTGTTATTATATGACTGCTGACAAGCTTCTTTAGAGGAAAAAAAAAAATATTATTAAGTTTTTAAAATCTGTTTTAAATGCTATTTAGTAACTTGATTGTCCCTGCAAGCAGAGGACACTGCACTTTCTGGTTGGAAAGGACTGTGTCCTAACTTAGTAGCTCTTTTTGCAAAACCAAAGTAGCCCTTCTTGGTGAAGGGAGACTGCCTGGATGAAGAATTTGTAAGCTCAAACCCTGTAAGAGTTTATATTTGAAAGACCATGCTGCACTGAATGTTCAGACAATACATGTTGAAATAACAATATAAAAATAGCATTACTATTAAGAACAATTTGTAATCATACAACACCTCTTGCAACAACTAGTAGGTTGATGAAAGAGTATAAAGCAATTTGGAGTATACTTGAAGTACTCTGCAATTCAAAATTCCATAAAGGTGTTTTAGAAGACTCAGAGATTTATTTCTGTATTTTGAAAATATTGATGTCATGCCAATAATGACAATGATGAAAAAGCAGTAGAAATTTGATACTATTAATAGTGATCCCTAAAGGATGTATTTATGCCTTGATCTCCACAGTGTCTCCTTATGAATTCACAGCTCTAGATAAACTTCTCTCCTGACTACCTTAGAGTGGAGTGGGCAAAGGGGCAAAGGTCCATCTGCACAAATGTTTCCGCTAAAAAGATAATGAAAGCGGGTGATTCATGTTACAGTTGCTGCACTGAATAAACATGACATTTTAGAAATACCTTTATTTTGCAAATGCATTAAGCAAAATGAGGTTGGATGTATTCACAAAGTTTTTCATCTGGCCTGGCTAGAGAATTTTGTGAAAACATGTTTATTATATAGATGTGTACGTATTTATATGTACATATAATTATTGTATCTGGAATGTATGCATGTTCATTCTTAAAGTGAGAGCTAAAACACATTGAACTGGTGTTTAAAAATTATATGGCTTGTCACTATTATAATGACCTGTAGATGGAGTTAGTGTACAGGTTTTTTTATTATACTGTGGTTTAATATGAAAACACAATTGCATACAGTCACTTTTTCCTCAAAATGTACACACCTTACATAAAATATATCTGTTTCTAAAGCCATTTTGTCATAGTAACACATCCTGCCTTTTCTGCTGGAGTGCTATTAATCTTTTATGATAAAAAGCAATTGATGGATTAGATAAAGTGTCTGTGATACAGAAAAACAAAGCCTTTCCATGTCATTCTTCTTGTCATAAGAAAAAAAAAAAGCATTAGGACTTTTAAAATGTGTCCTTTGAATGAAAAATCACAACCTTCTGGAGATACAGTGCACTTAGTATGTACACAAATGTTCTCATTCATCCTGTTGTGACCATATGTCAGTTAAAACCAGCCCTAACAGTGTTTTTTACCTCTGATAAGATGGTGGGAAGAACAGGTAATAGTACTGAAAAATGTGTCACCCAGACTGGGAGCAGTGTATTGTATTGCATCCTTGCTGAATGCACTGCCACTAGTCCATCTTTCTGACATCTTTTCAGCAAACATACTAATTTATTTACCATGGAAATTTCTGAAGTATTTTTATATCCTTCTGCCACCTTAATCTTGATGACCTTCTGCTACCCTTGAGACACGTTTGTACAGCAGCTTGTTTACTGACAATGAGTGTAAATATAAAATTTAATCCAATGAAACATCCTATGTTGCAATTCTACCTAAGATGTATGAGGAATGATCCTTTGAAAGATAATGCTCACTGGAGAAGGCAGGAGAACCTTGTTATTTGGTAACATATAGGAAGCATAAAAGAAAAAAATTACTAACTTTTGCGACTTAAAACGCAACTTTAGGTATGTAAAATAAATTAACCTTGTTTTTTTTAATGAAGTGAAATGCTATGGTATAGCTAGAGGAAATTCATAGCATTTTTAAAAACTGTTAAGAGATTTTGTCATCTTCTTCAGAAACAGTGATTTATATGCAATAAGAAAACCTGGAAATTGTTATCTAAAAAGCCACATGCAATTGAATTAACCCAAAAGTTAGTAAAACTTCTATGAGTGTAATTCTGAAATAATTTAAATTTGTACTGTTATTTATCCAAACACATACTGCAAAATAACTTGGACGCATTTCCAGTTTACCTATATCCAAGGTTATCTTTCCTCCTTTTCTCTGTATTTGATACAAGTGCACTATCTGTGTGGGATACACAAAGGATGTTTAAGTGATGCAGCTGACAGGAAGTAATTTTGTGTGTATTTTAATAGAACCAGATCATTACATGTAACAGTATATTCCTCATGGGGCAATCTTTGCTAGTTAGAGCAGGAACAACTGGCAAAGCACCAAGACCCGCTTATCGCTGTAGCCGTGCAGAGAACAAGATGCCCAGTGGAGGAATTACTTTTGTGACCCGACCTGATCCTAACAGAAGTTTTGGGCACTGCACCGTTTCTCCAGTTCAGTAGCAGCATGTGCTGCAAAATGATGGTTTGGAAAGCAGTGGTTTTTGCCTTTAGTCATGAGGACTACACATGCCTATAATGGAAGTCCTCCCAACAACAAATGAAATAACCGTACTGGGTTTGGCTTTAAGACACCTGTAATTTCTGATTAAGGGAAGTATTCTATGACAGGGCATTTGGTAAGGGTTTCAGATTTAAAAAAAAGATTGTTTCTTATGTCATCTGCAGCAGACACAAACCACTAAGCCCAAGGATTTAATTGTGATTTTCACTGATGGAAGTAAGATTTTGGTGGCTGAGTTCAAAGAGCTTAATTTTATCCTTCTTCAAGCAAAATTTCAGAACCTATGGCTGAGTGAGAGGTGTACATTAGGGATCTGTAAGTGAAACTTTATAGACATGAAAGATTTCAAGATCAACAGATAGTTTTGTTACACATTTCTAAGGAAAAGTTGAAGGTATTCCTCCAAATCTAATTGCTAAATGAAAACAGGAAGTCAAATAAAGCACACTTAAATACTGACCTATGAAAATGCACACTCACTTTCATAAAGAAGACATCTCTGAATATTTTTTTTTTCTTTGATTCAGCATTTATTTTCAATACTTAAGTGTCAGTGTTTTGAATTATGGTACCTTTCTTTGGATGCAAACCCTTTATAATGACTATAAATTAAACACAATAACTTTTGCTGACAAATGAACCTTTTACTGAGGAACACAGAATATCATAATCATTAATGAATAGTGAGAGAAACATTTAGGAACTGACATTTGCTCACCATTTAAAGAGGGGCAGTGGTTTTCTATGATTTTACAAAAAATGTGCAATGTTACAAGAAAATGTTTTAGTGAAAGAACCCTATAAAGCTCTGTAATCTTGTTTTATGGAGATTTTGTGACCATAAACCAGTATAAAGAAGATTTGATAGATTTTTTAATTATTGCTTTGTAAGGTTAGTGGTGGGTTACTGATTTTCAGTGTAACTGTTCTGTGTTTCAGCTATGGACAAACCTCATCACAAGATGAACTGAAGGACAATACCACGGTATTTACCAGAATATTGGATCGTCTGCTGGATGGTTATGATAACCGCTTGAGACCAGGACTGGGAGGTGTGTTGTATTATAATTGCCAAGGTTGCATGTGAGATAAGAATCAGTTTAAAAAAATGTTATTTTTCCATGATACTTATTTTAATTCTGCTTATATATGCACACAAAATAATGCTGATACTGAATTATTTTTTTTTTCAAGAATGCCATACCTTCTCTGTCATTCACATTCTTGGTTGGCTCATATTTATACCCAAAAAACCAAGAAAATGGTTCACAATAGAAGGAGACCTCTGAGTATGTATTAAAAGTTCAAATATGTAAAGAATAAAAAATAATAAAAAATTACCCATGACCTGACAAATGGCAAATTTATGAATCAGGCCTAAACAGAACATTTATCTATGAATGTCTTCATAAGAGGATTTGGTTTTTAAAATGAAAGTATCAATCAACCTTAGTTATAAAAGGCTCAGAGAAGTTTGTGAGATTTTTTTTCTATTTAGGTATGTCAGGATTTTTTTCTATAACATTTTGTCTTCACAGCTTGGTAAAAATGTCTTTCTTCTTCTGCTCTTGGTGCTGAATTCTTAAAAAGGTATAAAACCACGTAGCAATTACAGTCTTACAGAAACGTTACAAAGCCTGGGCTTTATCAGCATCCCTGTGTTCACTCTTTGATTTGTTCTGCTGTGAGATGGCCCCAAGACTGGGTCATAAAAGCTTGCTGTTCACAAACATGAAAGTTCTATCCATACAAGCACAAATCTGTTCTTCCCAGTGAATGGAAAGGTTGGTTTTACTTCTTCCAGATGTCTTTTTTTTTTTTTCTTTTGAGCTCATCAGGTAGAGCAACCTCCCCCACAAAGTATAGTTCAACTTGTTTTCATAGAATAGCTCTCAGAGGAACTGTATGATAAGAAGATCAGGGTATTACATTAAGAATTCTTAGACCATCTCTTGTGGATGAAATGGAAGGTAATTAAGAGTAAGCTTATTCTGTGGTTTGAGGCTACTGTCTTGCAATGGTGCTTGAATTGTGAGCCAGTCTTCAATGGCTTGACTTCAAGGAATGGCTAAAGATAAAATTCTATTTATAAAGTCCTAATGAGCACATTTAAAAATGAGCTGGTCTGTAAATTTTTGTGTGCAATTTTAGATAATACATAACAAAATAAGAATCACTTTTTAGTTTTATCTACCAGTAGTTTTGCCTGCTTACTTGTAAATCCTTGGACTAGTGCAGAAAAAAATGGTCCTTAATCTTTGATTAATGCAACTGTATAATTTAGTCAGGTACTGTATCAGAGTAAATAAACATAGCAGAGAAGGCAATAAATAAATTAAACTCTGTAAACTGCATAGAGTCTGTTACATGTCTATAAGACATGGGTGTATGGGTTGTGTAGCTATTATGATATGTTGAGCAGTTACAAGAGGAGCAAACAGAGCTGCAGGAAAAGGATTTTCTCTCTCTGGATTGCAATTCAGAGAACTGAGGACATCAGTGCAGAATATTCTGTATGCATGTTTATAAGCATCAACCTCCAAGGGTGTACTGGGAGAACAGGTCTGCGTACCTCATGAAAGGATCATCCAGTCCAGTTAAAATTTACTCCTGACAGAAAGATTGTTTAATGTAACTGCTTCTGTAGGAGGAAATTAGTCTCTTCACAAACTTTCATAACTATTTGCATCACTATCAGTTAAAACCAAACATGAGTGGAGCACATGAAATATGGGGTAGAGGGAAGGCAGGATTGGAGTAGTTTCTTTAAGCAAGGGTTGGATAAATTTTTTGCATCCCTTCTTTTTTGAATTGTGTTGCATGGTCCTGCCTGTAGCCAAGAACCTCAAACTCTGTTGTTCAGTACATTAGACTTTCACGGTGTCAGTTCAGCAGAGTAAATTGAATTTCTCTGTTATATTTGTCAGTTTTGAATACCAGAACTAAGAGTACCAGGACTTTTTAAAAAATACCACATCTAATGAAATTGTGGGCAGTAAATTAACGTTTTAAATCAAATATAGTAAGAAGTAGCTTTCCTCTTTTGACTATTGAATAATATTTTATTCAGAAGCCATAAATTATAGATTTGAAAAACTAGGAACAAACATCTAGGCCAATGTTTCAATGTTTTTAATTCTGGTACCAATTTATAATAAAGGGTTTGCTCAAGCGTTTTAAAATTCACCTCTGCAAAATCTTACTGAGGTATCTGTGAGCTAAGAACCTCAAGATAATTCAATTTTGACACATTTGATTTCCACACTTCGTATAAGGGGGAAATGAATTCTGAAATGTTCCATAAATAGAAATATCCAATGAGAAATCTAAATTAATATATGAAATATAGCATCGTTTTTGGATTTGGAAGTCCAATAGCCTTCCACTATAGCATGATCTGTTGCTGGAAATTTTAAAATGTATATGGAAGAGCAGTGGTTTCATTTTTCTTCCCTATATCATGATGGCTTCTTATGAATTTTTTTAATCAGAACAACATTTTTATCTACTCTAAAGAGAAAGTTAAGAAAACTAACAAGATAACAGCTTTTTTAGATATACAGGATTGAGTCTAAAACTCATTCATTCCATATTAGCTGTGACGTAGTTATCAGAGAATTTAAGAGACCAGAGAGCCTCATACATATATGTTGATAAATTTTAAGCTGTTAAGCACAATGTAAATCTGTGTACCACTGGTTACAGCGTAGCACTCTTCCAATTATCCCAAATTGTCTGGCCTGTTCTTTCTACGCTTTCTGAGAAAGAGTTGATGAAATAAAATATTGTGTGGTACAGTTACTTTCTTCTGCAGAAGGGGACATATTGCAGGAAACTGCTGGTCCCTGTTTGACCTCTCCTTCTGTGGTGCAGTTTTTCAAATATGTAGACCCAGAGAAAAGAGAATTCTGTGCATGAACAGAAATGGAAATGAGAATCAATTTCTCTCTTTCTCACCTATGTAAGAAAAGGTAGATGGCAGAGCTTCTTCAGTCTATTTATTTGTTTCTCCTTCCTTGTGTTTATGTGTATGCATGAAGAATTCCGTGACAAAAGGGTATGTTTACTGGAAAATTGTAATGAATTGTGAAAGGGGTTTGATTTTGATCTTACTCTACTCACTCACAGGAGTAGTTTCCTCCTTTTTAAAATAAAGGCCATGATATTTCTCTATCCCAAATTTGCAAACTTTGTATTAGTGTGGTTTCATTATTTGGCAGACAAATCCTGGTGAGGTAGATGAGGCATCGTGAAGCCAGGAACAAGCTCCTGGAGAGATCTCATTACAAAGATACGTTGTTGGAGCTATACTATATACCAACTGGAAAGCCATGTTAAAAGGTGGAGCATTAAGATAATGAAAAATTTAGAGGTGTGAAATAAAAAAAAAATCAGCACATGTGGAGTCAGTGCCAGGTTAATGTTAAATCTTCCCTTTCCTCTTTTTTAGTTCTTCTTTTGAGGTAGCACTTCAAAAGGAAAAATAAAAATTCACACATACTCCATAAAAAGTATGGGAATTAAAATAATTATTCACCAGATAACCCAGTAAGGCCATATCTGAAATTAAGTGAGCAGCTCTGACCATTTTGCTGTTCAACAAAGAAGCAATTAGTTCTCATTAACAAGAATATTTAAAAATTGAGTAGGTGACCTATGGGGAAAAACTATAGTGACTGAATACACTTGGCATTTTAAAAATATCATTGTGGCTAAAATTAATCTGATTTTTCTTTAAAAGAAACATGCAGCACTATGTTATGCATTGGCACATTTACAGCTTTTATCAATATTGTTTTAAATGTAAATTATGTTATTTATATGTTTTCTTTCTTCATATGGGGGCATAGTCACTTAGTCAGGCATTGCTAGGAAATAGCATGTTGTACCCATCCATAACCATACACAAATAGCTACATTTACAGTTATTTATGCCTGGAAAATAGAACTTTCAAAATGAATGTAAAAACATTCTGAATCACACTAGAGGACACCTCATAACTATAAGAGGATAATAATTTAGAAAAAGCAAGAAGGAGGAATTTCAGAGAGTAGCACTGAAGCTGAAAAAGAGGAAATGATGTTAGACATTAAGGGGAAAAAATAAACAGTTATGCCATTTAGGTAATAGCATAATTTTCTGTGGGAATTATCTGGACCCTGGAACTACATATGATGAAAAATAGACTGAATAATAAAGATGGTGATCCCTTTTCAGATACACAATTCTGGACAAAATAAAGAATCAGATAATGGTGGGAAGGAATCAAATAAGGAGGAAAATTTACCTCAATGTTTGGTGACTTCTTATACCACTCCATCTAGAGAGGGAGTTTAAAAGAAATTATGGAAATGATGGAATGACGGAAAAAATAAGGTATTCAGATAAGTGGATATTCCATTTTCTTTTTTTCTGAGTTGTCTTCATGTATGGGATAGAGATGAGCCCTGGGATGCTACCATGGCAGATTTGGAGTGCCACAGTGGAGAGAGGGTGGGCTTGCACAGGGCAGGTCGGTTGCACTTGGTGCTGAGATTCATTAACATGAAATCAGGTACAACTACAAATGTTTTAAGACTATCACCTTTGCATTGCACACATCCCCTCTTTAAAATGAAAGGGTATCAAGTAATCTATGAATCTGTGACCTTTTAACTTTGAATCATTGTAAATGTGATTTATCCCTTTGGGAGGGATTTTGTAGTAGAAAGGTTGTTTAGTACACAACAAGGAAGAACAAGAGGTGTGTTTGATTTGGCAGACCAGGATCTTCCTAAATCGAATTTGGGTCAAATGCTCATTAAATCATCCCGAGTAGATAATTGACATTACTTCAGTATTGAACAGAATTATACTTGGTTTATGCTATCAGTAAAAGCTATTTGTTGATCTCTCCTGTGTGCTATTTACCAACATTGAGTGTGACTGTCATTAAGTGGAACGTCTGTCCGTCTCAGACAATTCATTACTTCCATGGAGTGGTTATATTTAAGTGATGGAAAACTGACAGCATTATGATCATTATGTTTTAAAATTCAGTTTTATGAGAACATTATCCATAAATATATGAAAAACTTTCCTCTTGGTGATTTAGGTCTCGATGGAAACTTGCATGCATATTTCAGCTAACTCAAAGTTTAGGGAAAGTACGGTTTTGGCCTGTATGTGCAACAAAAATTTAGTTAAACCTAAGTATTTCTACTCTAAATTAAAAGAGAGACCTATACTGGACCCCAGTACGTAATTCTGTAAGTGGAGAGGACTAGACGCTATACTTAACTGCAAAAAATGAAAGGGCTGATTTTGGTCCTTTTTCTACTCTGTAAGCACCACATTGATGGCAAAGCAACTGTAAAAAGCCATAGATGACCCTAGGAAAACTGTTTAAACACAACAGTAGGGAGGTGGAGAGGATATGAGCCGCTTTGAGCAGCTGATGGGTGCGGGGAGAGCTGCCACGACAGTGCGCGGCTGACGGTGAACCCTTCCTAGTAGCACAGACTGCAGCTGGGTGATCTCGGGACAGACAGCTCACTGTTCTCTTGTCTGGTCTCTGCTTTTACAAAAGCAGCTGCACAAAATTCTTATCAGTGTATTTGTTGTGGTTCTTCAATCAAAATACTTCATAGGATGCAGCCAGCGTGATTAGTCTACAGGACCTTTTTTAGTAATAATAATAGTGTGTGCTTTACAGGCATCTGCATTCCTTTCATGCAAAGCAATGGGAAAAGTCTTCTTTCTTCTAATAACTATAGCACACAATTACACAGGACATTTACCAACAAACAAACAAACAAACAAACAAAACCAAAAAAAACCCCATTTTAACTACCAAAATACACAACTCGAATAAGCCTTATGCTCAAATAGCAGTAGGTTAGAAAGGGAAATAGTTAATGTACAGTTTCCTTTGATAAATAGGCTTATTTCCTGCTGTTTAAATAAATCTGTATTTCCTATTTTGTTCTCAATTTGTAATCCAATCACAATTCTAGCAATAATGAGCTCCCTGGGAGTTTAAATAAAAATATTTATTGTTATTCATTTTGAGAGTTTAGGTTAGTCTGGCACCATTAGCAGAAGGCAGTAGTTGCAAGCATTGAAATGACAGTAGTTCACGTTGACTGGTGCTTTCGTGGCTCTGTGTGGATCAGCCGCCCCAGGCTGTGCTGCAGTGTCCAGGTGGTTCTTGCTTGCTACTTTGCTGATCTGTAGCTACTGGGACACTATAGTTGCCTTGTAGTAAAACTAGTAAGACATCAATCATTTTTAAATGTTTTTTATACTGCAACAGATACGTTTTATACATATTCCTATATTACTTAGTCCTGGTTTATGAGATAGGTGTTAGAGTCAAGGGAAATGGTTAACACGTCTTTATAACTGATGGATTTATCCTCAGCAGTCTGATCAGCTCCCGACCTGAGCTTGTTTTTAGAATTTTCTCTAGTTCTTAGGGATATTGTGAAGGTTTTGAATATAGCTCAGGATTTGATGTTCCTGAAAAATGCTTTCTGAGCATATGAAGCACAGTTTAAGCCTTCCCATAGTAATCAAGCTGCAAACTGAACATGGTTAACCGTGATTCTAAATATATATCCCTACTGTATGAGTAAAAACATGTCCTGTGCAGGACTGATGCACAACTTCTGAAGCTCTTAACAAAGCACAGTTGAATCATCTAATTAGTAAAACAGTAAACAAAAAAATTCAAAACTTCCATATGGCTTTTTTTTCTTTGTGTTCATACACATTTTTTCATTGCTTTTGAAAATGAGGTACATATCAAAGAAAAACCAAAACAATTTGGTGGTGTGTACAGTAGTTTTATCTGGAGTTGCATAGACACGGGACTAGATGCTCTGCAAAAGTGTAATCAAGTATGAAGCTAACACAACTTCTCATGAGTTCACAATCTTAATTTTCTACTATTTCTTAAATGCCACTTTAAATTATCTTCAGTGTTATATAGAAATGAAAGGCATCACACATTTTCCCACTCCCTCAGCAATGTTCCATCTTACTGCCAAAGCCTTTAGTTTCCATTTTGAGTCTCAAAGTGATTTCCTTAAGCCTCAGCCTCTCTTGTATGACCAGCTGTCTCCCAAAACTGGAACTGGGGATAAGACTACATGGTATGTCGCTGATTCAAAGAGCATGTCCTGTGTTCATGCAAGGTAAATCTGGTAGCTATATTATATTAAGTAGTGGCTCACTCAGAGCTGTGACTCTTGAGTTTACACAATTAAGGGATGAATGCATTGTGCCTGGAGAGCTTCTAGCATCTTCTGTGTCCTAATGACACCAGTGGAAGTGCCTCAATGGAAAAGAGATGGAAAGATGGGGAGTCAGGATGAAAGATCTTAAAGACAGTAACTTGAGTTTCACTTTTCAATTTTCACTGTAAATTTGTTGAACTTCAGAGCCAATTAGATGTCAAGAGAAAACTTAAATTTCTTTAAGTCAGTTGAAAAGCTTATAAACAGTGATCAGATAATACATTAACTGCACAGGGCAGCTAAGGAGGAAATATTCCCTATCCAATGTTTTTGCCAGTAGTCACTGTAGTTTTTACACTTCTCAGCCACAGATATAAAAAACAACAAAAAAATATTATTGGGCAATCCATCCACAACATAATATTTAACTTTCTGTGATTATGAAGAATACACTGGAAATTTGATCCTTTAATTTTTTTAATGAGTCCTGAAGATGACTGTGTTACCACCTGATGTTTGCATTAACTTGCGAACGCAATACAAGTTTCATTCAGGGCATTACTAGAATGACAGTAGAATCAAATCAAATATTACGTCTTGGTTATTGTGGTCTCACAAAATGAGGTATTTTTTTCTATCTATATTAAACATTTATATAAAACTGCTTAAATTCATACAGATTTAGAAGTTGTAGCCTTTTTTGAATGAAAGTTAAAAACCTGTATGTCCATTGTAGAATATTGATTCTTAGAACTTTACCATCAGATTAAGTATTCCATTGATCTCTGGCTTCTTAACCTTAATTTCTTATTTCACTTCTCTTCTGTCAGAACTTGTCAGATAAAACATCACATATAAACAGTCCAAAGTCTTTTGAAGTCAGAGTTATATCAAATAATTTTAAACTTAATTATTTTACAATATTTAAATAACATTATACAGATAGTGACATATATATGTTTCTTAGCATTATTGAAATTTTTGCCTGCTGCATGATTTCTGCTTACGGTAGTTACACTTTCCTGTTAACATCTTTTCTTTAGGATTATTTTTAATATTCCAAAATTCTCAATTTATTCCTTTTGTGAAAGTTACCTGAGAAATATGTCACGCCTCTCACATTTGAAATTTCTACCAAAAGCCCCAGGCTGGCTTTTGGAGTACTACAGTGAATGGCTTCAGTCTAACATCACTGTAAGTTCTGATAGGTGAGGGGTTAGGTCCACTCAACACTTTGGGTTTGTGCCTCCGGGTAGTGTTATTCCCTGCAGCTATATTTAAATCAACAGTTATATTGATATATGCCATCCTGGGTGGATATTTTGTGAGATGTGGCCTAGAAAATACCAATGTGTTCAGATACTGTATGTGTTTGTAGAGGGGGGAATAGAGGAAGGGGGAAAGTTAAGCTTGTGCATTTCTCAAAGTGACTTCTAACAGTAGGTCTACGAAGCCAGATATTTGGCTCTTTCTGGAAATCAGCACCATTTTAGGTGTCTCAGACTGATTATTTCTGACCACTAAAATAATTGGATTCTTCTGAAGTGTCCAAGGGCATTGGAGGAAATGTACATCCTTCAAATCACAGAGAAGTCTGACTTTATGGCATGGCATGTACATATAATCTGTTATGTACATGTTACAGGTTTCTGAATTATTTTTTTAATGGATCTATCATTGAGGCCTATAAAACAATTTAGTAGTTTAAGAGAAATCTAATGCTAGTGTCTATATTGATTTAAAAAGAAATGGAAAACATCTACAAGTGGTAACATTTATGCGTAAGTGAAAAAATGTAGTAGAGAAGTTTAGCTGATATTTATTTGAAAAAAATATAACTCTTTTTTGTTTATTGCAGTTAAGGATAATGCAGACATTTCTAATGCATGACAATAAAATATCTTTATGTTTCTTTATACTGTAATGTATTTTTTCTCTCTTTTTCTTCTATGCTTGTGTGTCTCAATACAAAACATGATTTGCAAGTCCAGTGTTAATTATTTGAGAACTTCATTCAGCTTGCCCAGAAATACCGAGCACCCAATGAAACTGTGTACTTGAGTACTGTGAGTACTGTGAGTACCTTGCCCAGAAATACCGAGCACCCAATGAAACCTTTGAGTACTGTGAAAAATACTCAGCACTATTTACATTGTCAGACAAGAAGATTTACTAGTCAGAGTGAAAAGATTTACACAACAGTAGAACTAGGGCTGCTGTACTGTGGCATCACAAGCCACGTCTCAAAAAGTTCTGTAGAAACTCCGTAATAAGAATATTGCTGACAATATTGGCTGTGAAATTACATCTAGAAGCAATAAATTATCAGAATCGTATTGTAGACCAATTTTAGAATGGCTAATCAAAGCCAATAATTTTTCTATTTATTGTGAGAATTGGTAGTGGTTAGATCTAATGAAGACCGTTGATAGACACTCACTGTCCTAATTTCCTGCTTCATCAGAGCGTGTAACTGAAGTGAAGACTGACATCTTTGTCACCAGTTTTGGGCCTGTTTCAGACCATGATATGGTAAGTTGATGGCCTACGTTTCTACAGCGTTTATTTTCTCGTCTTTTTAATTTGGAGGGTGAAAGAGCTATACAATGACTTATTTACTCCTTTTAAGGCTCAGCCTTTTTTAAGCCCTCGATTCCAAAATGCTGTCAGCTTTTATGTGCAACCGTTCCTGCTAGCTGGGACTGTATTTAAGTGCCCTGAAATTAGCAGCCTCAGTGACTTTAATAGTGTGTTTTAACAGACCTTATATTTGCTACATAATGTATTAAGAAATGCATTAGGGTTTGGAACTGTATTCTTCTGAAAATGATTGCTCAGGTCCTTGCTGGCACATCACTGATCCAATTTGCTAAGAAAGATCATCATCTTAAAATGCAATTAACACTTATGCCTACAGTGTGACAACCTTACAATCTAACCTGTATTTTGATATTAAAAGCTACTGATCATTGGGAAGTGACTTTTCTAGATCTTGGCTGCTGAAAGAGAAGAGAAGATTAATGAGAGAATTAGTGTCATTCCTTTATGGAATGAATATTAAAATCAAACTGCTAGATAACTGCAGGGGATGGATAAGTTCAGAAAACTGAATGATGATGTTGTGAGCCCAGATCTTAAGACATATTAAAAATTGTATAAAAATCCAGATAAGGTACTTTAAATTTTGCATATAAATGAGGTATTCACAAGTAGGTTGCTACTGACATGGAAAGCCTCATCTACAGCCACTAGCATCTGCTGGATCCTATGTTAGGATGCATGTTGGAAACATCCTCATTAATTTCAATGAAGAAAACAGTTCAACCTGTCTACATGTTGCTAAAGACACCAAAAGAAAGATGAAAAAAATAAAATTTAAGAGAAAAAATTTTCACAGCAAGGAAGTAAGATTTATTTCTTAGCACAACAAATTTGAACAAAAACTGTAGACAAGCCTTAGACACAGGGTTGTTACAAGTTTCTGACTACTCCAAGCAACATTAAGGGATGGAATAAGAGAGGAAGTAACCTTTACAAAGATAGTTTATTTTCCTAAATAAACTTCTTCAGAGACACAATTTTCCTTTTTGCTCAGAAAATAGCATTTATAAAACTATAAATTTCTAATTGTAATTGTTGCCATGATATTTAAATGTGAAAGAATAGCTTGGGCAGCCCAAACCTTTTGACTGGTCATTTTGGTGAGAAGACCTACAGCAGAAGGATGATCCAGAGAACCAGCTGGACTGGTAACTTCTCTCTTCAGCACATAGATAGAATACTGTCCAATACTATGTATATATACCATGAAGAAGAATTTTAAAAGAAATAAAAATAATTCAGACTTCTGCTCTTTTGTTCCATGATACTCTTGTGAAAATACAATGTTTACTTGTTACTCTAAATTGTGCATTAAAAAGGGGAAATTCTTTGGATTAAACATAGGTAGAAACCTGCAGCATCCACCCTTTCTGTTCTGATAATTGGTTCAGCAAAACACTTGATCTTGCTTTCCTATTTCTGCCTCAAATTAGGCAATCAATCACCACTGGACAAACTGGAAACTTTGGACACAGTCATGAGACTAAAATATGTTATAAAATATTTTAATTTAATAGCATTTGAATTAAAACTGTAGCAGCTGCAGCTTGAAAGTGATCTGAGGTTGCTCCGTTTTTGTTAATTTCCTGAAAATTAATGTAATTTAAAGCATTGGGCTGAACATAGATGCTTGTGGGAGGTGAACAAAAGGAATGATCTATGAGGGTGAATGTATGCTTTATATTTTTTAGAGATTTTTCTGTGAGTCAGCTGGCTAACCCACTGTTTGGTCTGTTTAGTCAGATTTACTGGAATACTCCAAAAATAAATGGCAGTCTAAAAAACAAATGGCCATGGATGCTTTCCTACACATAGACATAACTACAGAGTATCTGATAGGCCTGCTCAATTACTTGGGACTCTACTTATACGTTGTAGTTTCAGGTGATTTAATCAAGTAGTAGTTTAATCAAGCTAATTTAACATTCCCAGGACAAACTGGTATTTTTACAGAGTATGGGTTTTAAGGAAGAATAAAATACTGAAGCCCAAATTAATCTGCTTTCCTAATTAGGAATAGCTATATTTGGAAAAAAAAAAAAAGTTCAGCTCTAATTCTGTGTAGCTGAATTACTATAACATAAGCAATCACTACCTACAAAAAGAACCTAAAAAATAATTTAAAACCCATACCACACTGGCTTCTGATTTTCACTTAATTTGTTAAATAGGAGAAAGAATTCATCAGTGTCTTAATAAAATGTATGACCAAGAAGCAGACAGGCAGGTGTTCATATGTTTTGAGAACTAGGGAATTACAGACAAGTATTTAGTGTAAAACTCCTACTCACCTCTCCTAAAAAGTAGTGTGTGTGCAGCCTACTCATTCTAACTCTTTTGCTTAAGGAAATAAGTGTGAAATAAAAGCCAGAAAGAGAAAGATTAAATGAAGAGCTTATCAGAATGCAAAGTTTATATTAATTTTAATGCACATATAGTGCAAAGTCCTCTGTGTATACTACAGGTTGGTTGTAGACCAGTGAGGACTGCCCCAGATTTGCTCCAGTGAGCAGATTTACAGTAAAGCCTAGACTGGATTGTGGGATTTGGTCAGAGGGAGGCCTCAAAGCAGCTGTACTGGCACAGAGCGGGAGCCACTCGCTGCTGTCTGAGCCCAGAACTGATGGCTGGGAACTGGCAATGAGCTACTCCAGCTGACACCCTGTGTTATGAAACTGCAGCCACGGTGAGACATCAGCTTTCCTAGACCATCTGTTTGCAGGAATCCAGTGAGGCAGCCATATAGATAGTAGGTTGATATACCAGGGAGTACATGATGTTCCTACCCACTCTCCATACACTTCTAAGAGCAACATAGGCATAACTTGTTATTCTATAAAGAGAATATCTTGGCTTGTTCTTAAACTTGTGAGTAAAGTTAAAAAAGATAAAGGCTCTTTTAAAAATAAAAACACCTTTTTTGGGAAGAACTTTGCGGATTCAGATTTTCAGATGTGCTGTCTCAGATGGTGGACTCAGCTAATCAACAGATAACTTGCTATTCTCACATGTGTTCTCACATTCATTTATTAAAAAAAAATTATGTATATTATCTGGAATAAGACATATTTCAAAATTAACATTTTTCAGAAATACAGATTTTCTAGCAAACCTTCATTGTCACTGCTTCTGTACTGTAAACTTCAGAAACAAATTTCTATTCTACTGCCTGCCTGTACAACACCTCTTGTGACCTAGACCACAGTGTGGTCTAACCTATGAATAAACAGTCTCCAGGGAGAGATATCTGATGAGTAAATTAGAGAACATTTAAATCAAAGTGATATAAATATTCAATACCGTACAAGTTGTTGCCCAAGTGCAGATAGGAATTTTCTTCCTTTATCTGCCCCCTAAGGAACAAAGAGTCTCCAATGCAGATAATTTATTCCAAATTTCATCTCGCTGATACGTTTGCACAGAGACCACTGCTATAGTACATGGTCTGTAGAAAATCCTTCTGTTCTCTTGTTCTCTATAGCACCTCTCTGTTGAAGAAAGCCCCAACCAGAGTATGTGATGACTTGATCTTAAAGATCAGCTGTCTGTCAGGATTCATTTGAGCAGAATTAATGTACGTGTTAGTGTGGGTAGTGAAAGCTAAGGACTAAGAAGTCTCAGCCAAAATGAAGTCATCCTATATAGTGCAATGGCCTGGGGTAGAGAAATACTCAGTCTGTGCCAGGTATGACCTATTAGATGCTTTTAGATTGATTTTTGTCTTATGCTGTCAGGTCTCTTCTCAAATCTCTCAGACTCCTTGTTCTTTCCCAGCAAAAGAACCTTGTGTTCATATAACATGAAGAACTAGACTTCTTTCTCACCCTGTACCACCTCCCACTCATCTCCATCTTTGCAGATGAAAGACATAATAAGGGAATGGCTTACATGCACCCAGCAATGATGTCACCTTCTGGGCATGTCTTTTACCTTTCCTCTGTGTGTAGGAGAAAATTTTCTTTGGAGCTACTAAAACATGGAGGAAATCCAGTATTTTAATGCTACTTACTGCACTTTAAACTTCTGTCTTACTCTGCTGCACACCTGGGACAAGATTTGCACATGGTTCAGCCTAAGGCCCCAACCCAGCAAAGTTTTAAAGCAAGTAGTTGGCTACAAATGCACAATTGCTGTCACTGGAGCTGAACAAATCCAGGCTTCAGCAGCTCACTGAGCGTGTGATTAAACAAAACAGCAATGCAATTAAGTATGCACCAAAATGATTCACAGGTCTGGGATATAAATTTAAAAATAAAACAAAACCAGCAAAGGTTCAGTTTCTCAGCCAAATTATCATCTGGTGATTTTGAACAATGTTTGGATAGCTACTTTTGACATTTATCACAATATACTCATGAAGAATGGAAGGGGCAGTATAATCCTATACCAAACTTTTAATTTTTTTCCATGGGAAAATACTATACTGCATCCACAGGAGTTTTTCACATTTTCACCTCACATACATCTGTATTTTATGTATAATACTTTAATATATTTTTCCTAATTTTATCCTCTTCACTTTGTTCCTACTGCTTTGTAACAACTCTTGCATTCTGTAGTGTCAGTTATTTTGATTCTCCCCATGTACACTGAATTGACCACTACATCTCTTCCCCTTTGGCCCAGACCTTGCTTAACCCAACTCCAGGTCTGGGTCCAAAGCTGTCCTCACCTTGTGCTCTCTGTAGTCTCAATGATTTGGCCCAATGAGCTGTTTCAAGTCTCAGAAACAAGTGCACAAAAATTTAGTGAACTGTGAACTTTTTACAGGTTGACTATGTTTATACTAATGCGACACTTAGAACAAAAGGTTCTAGTAAGACCATGTCTCACCAGAGTTGTTTTCTTCTGAGAGACATATTCCTTCTGTGCTATGCATACTGGCTATATATCTGTATCTTCAAATTAGTTTTATGGAAGGCGGAGAAAAAGTGATAAAAGGGTGACTTACTGTGTTGTCACTACATTATATTTCAAATTCTTGTCTAACTTTTGATACACTATTCTCTCTAACATTTATTCTGTTGAACACCATAATAATATTGTGACCATTTAATAAGTAGCTTCAGGTACACTGTAAGTAATACAGAGAATAAATGTTCTGATAATTACTAATTACATTAATAGTCTCTGTAAGTAATACAGAGAATAAATGTTCTGATAATTACTAATTACATTAATAGTCATCTTGCTTCAAGGAAATGGTAAGATTATATTTTTCAAGTTATCATACTGCATCATATAGCATCATAAGTGTTTCCTTTTTTTCTGAATTGATGTAGGAATACACTATAGATGTATTTTTCCGCCAAAGCTGGAAAGATGAGAGATTAAAGTTCAAAGGCCCTATGACTGTTCTCCGGTTAAATAATTTAATGGCCAGCAAAATTTGGACACCTGATACATTTTTCCACAATGGAAAGAAGTCAGTAGCTCATAACATGACGATGCCAAATAAACTGTTACGAATTACAGAGGATGGGACTTTGCTCTACACAATGAGGTGAGCCCTAAAATACTATACTTGGTTTAGTTTGACAGTTTAACTTGTTAAAGCATCATATTTTCAAAACAGGAAACAGGTTACTTTTTGAGCATAATTTGATTCCTGCTTAGTAACTATTTTCAACACAGGCCATGGAGTGATGGACAAACTGAGGTACTTGCAGTGTTTATTTTTCTCTCCTCCTGCTATGCTACCTTTATGCTCCTAGTATGTGTCTTAGTATTTTAAAAAGGTCTGTATAGTATTAGGAATCCACCAGTTTGCAGAGGACCTTGATTTGGAGTTGTTTTCAAGGATTAATCAAAACCTGAAAGTTTAATATAATTTAGAGTTATAGATTGTGTAAGAGTCTTTGATCTTTTGATTCTATAGAAGCAGATTCTAAGAACTAGCAGATTCACACAGAATTCATTGCCCATTCTTCATATTTCTTGTGCTTCTGAAAACATTCTAAAAAAAACTATTTCTTTTTTCATTCATGACAAGAAAAACAATTCACTAAAGCATTTGGAAAGTTAGGAGAAAAAATATATATATTTTTGTGCTGGCACTATTCTTCCTGGAAATATTTTGTTCTCTTCACAAATAGCTAAACTTTAGTTATCCAGTTTTCAGCAGAGGAGTTAAATAAATCCTTTTGAAATAATGATGATACATGGTCCTAGAAACATTCTGGATTAAAAGACTGCAAATTAAACAATGAAAAAAAAAATTGTATGTTGTCTCTACAGAGCTACACATCCCCCATTTATGTCTCCCATGGAATCAAACAAGGTATAGAGTGATTCTGTTGATTCAAAGTGAAGATGAATAGCTTAGTATGCAGGTGAAGAGTTTTTCCTTTTAACAGTTTAAAAGATGTTTTTAAAAACACTACAAGTATTTGGAGAAAACAAAGTCTCCTGGCTTTTGGGAGCCTGTCAAATATGTTTAATTTATTCTGCGACATCTTTCAAGACTGCCTAGGTTAGGGTAGAATCTGCTTGGCTTTGTCATGTCTTCTAAAGAGTGGGCTGCTAGGGATTTAATGCACAAGAATACTATCTTGGCAGCACATTGTTCACGTGTCTCTTTTTTTGACCATAACCATTTCTATTTGCTCACTTCTGCAATCTTCTGCCTACTATTCAAGTACGATTGTTCATTCCTTGTTGATGTGTGGTATGTGACTGTTTCTGGTTTATTTAATCTCTTTTATTGAGAAACATGTTTGCATCCAAGCTGATAGCAATGAAATGATTTCAGAAAATGTCTGAGCATCCAGAGTGGGCCAATTTAATGATGGCAGCAAGGAAGCAATTTCAGTTTCTAATAGATTTTAATCCTAGCAGTCTGAATGTGTCTGTGCTGTACAGTGAAAGGGCAGAACCAGTCGCACTGATGGGTCTGCATATGCCTGTCAGCATCCCCAGCCAGACAATGCAGCTCCCACTTTAGCTGCCAATTAATCACGTAACAAATATTATGCTATGATTATTCTGTGTGTCTGTGTGTCTTGGAGATCTATTTGCCATTTCTGTGGAACTAGAACAAATGTGTTCTTTTGCTCATTAATCCATTATAGATTGACTGTGCGAGCAGAATGTCCAATGCATTTAGAAGACTTTCCTATGGATGTACATGCTTGCCCCTTGAAATTTGGAAGCTGTAAGTTTATTTTAAATTGAGGTTTCTCCCTTTTTAAGTAACTTTACAGAAGTATTTTGCAGCTGAGAAAAAGTAAAAGCTTTTATTTTGTTTATTTATCACCTTTTTTTTTTCTTTTTTTTTTTTGCAGGGTTGTATTTTTATACTTAACATGTATTTTTATTTAATATAATGAACCTCTTCTGTGTGTTTTAAATATTGTCCAGTGTCATGCTGGACATTTACAAAAGAGAAAAATGACAGTGCTCTAAACATCTAGTTAAAGTAGTTTGTCACAGAGAAAATGCTTTTAATCTTATCTTTGCTTTATTTTGTTAAGACCTAAAATCAATGTTAGAGAAAAGTAATACAGAACACAGATAACTGGATTTACTTAGGTGGAAATAATTCCCCTACCATAGTCTTGGCATGTTTAGAGTAAAATTTTGCCTAAGGTTAGAAAATATTCCCATGAAAGTCATACAAGATTTAGGGAAGTGCAGCACTTGTAACCTTAAATTAGAGAACATATGAAAAAAAGGTAATGTAGTTGAATAGTAGTGTAGTTGAATGTAGTGTAATAACTGACATAGGTTTCTGGAGACTGAGAATTTCCCCCAAAACTTGAATCTGAATAGCAACTAATCTGACACTGATACTTTCAAACTTAGCTGAAAATGGTATTTAAAAAAATAATTACAGCTCCCCTTCAACTCATTAAATAAAAAAAAATAAATTAAAAAAAAAAAAAGGCAGTTTTACCCTGGTTGGTTCAACACAAACAAGCAAGACAATGTGTGGAAGATGTATCCATGTACAAATTATTTCCTCAATAGCTATTTTTTTCTAGTAGAAATGGGTCGTTTCACTGATAATGGGTACTTAGTGGTTTGATCTATTTTATAAGTCAACAAACAGAACACCCAATTCATTCTTCACCTTACCAGTTTACTTTGGGCTAAATAACTCCATCTTTTCCATGAGAAAGGACTAATGTTTGTCTTGAAAGAGCTACTAGCCTCCCTGATAAGATTCAGAGAACAAAAGGCTCATGCAGATTTTGGAGTATCACTGACAAGAATAGTTTACTCCTTGAACGGTTAGTATTCTTACAGCACTTCCCATAAATCTTTACCAATCTCCTGTGAAACGGAAGGTGGGGGAGAAGCCTTCCTCCAGCTAATAATAGGGCAAATAGCTGCAGTGGGGTTTTCATTAATCACAGATCTGTGCACCCGAGATCTCGGTTAGATAGGAGGGGCTACAGGACTTAATTTCCTTCCAGATGCACACGGACGTATTTAGGTGGATTGCATGCTGCATCAGGAGGTGGGAAGATGGTTAATAGTGCGTAAACCCTGCTAATGCAGTGTTACACCATCTACAGTTTCTGAGCAAATCTGAACTACTAGATTGAATTTTTATAGACTATGTGTCTATAGACACTTGTAACCATGTTTGTACATCGGTGAGCCACAGCCTAAACACCAGACTCCCTAGTCTGAACAATAGTTCCCATTTTTTTCATACATTGAGTTCTTTCTGGCCCACTGTGTCCCAGTGTAGTGTACTTTGGGTTCATACAGTAAGAGTTTTCCAGATTACTAAGGATCTTGTCTTGATTAAATGATTAAGTGATGCAGAAATTATTAATGAAAAGAAATAGATAATATGGATCTGAACACCACTCCAGAGCCACACCATGAGGCAAAAACAAGATAGCAAAAAAGACTTGCAAATGTATTTGCATATCTTTGGTATCTAAATTGCTTTCCTTTTGTATCCAGAAAAATATATTAATCATAATATACATAATTTTCTTAAATTAACAATTTCTGATTGAAAGATCATTTCTTAAACTAAAGTCAGAGGCTGTAACTGGCATTCTAAGTTCAGATTGCAGACATGGTCTGATACATTTTACAGGCAATTTTAGGTTTTTTATTTGTTTGTTGTTTTGGTTTGGTTTTTGTTTTGAACACTAACTGGCTATCATGCCAGCTGTCTTTAACAGGACTTAGCAAAAAAAGTAACTCCAAATGCTGGTAAAGGCCATGAGACAATAGTAATGACTTTCCAGGGAAAGGTTGCATTCCCCTATGAAATTCAGGTGAGCTTCTAATCTGGGATCTTTAAGGGGAGGAGTTCCTTCTGTAACATGGTTTTACTGCAAACATTGCATGGGGAATTGACTGTCCAGAACAGGGCCGTAAAGATAGACCTCTCTCTTCCTTCTCATCAGATGATATGTTATAATTATCAGATTATAGAATATTTGTCTCAATATTTAGTTGTTGATATAAATAGTTATCTCCCATGGGACAAATGGCTGGACCAAGCAAGATATGAAAATGGGACCTGTCATTGTATGTAGAAAAAGAACAGTTCTTATCTTTAATTGTCACTTTTTCAGTGGGAATTGTAGTTAAATACATTTGGGACATTTTTGTCAAACTAAAGCAATTCATTTTAAGAATCTTAGTGGACTGCAAAAATTACTGAAAAAGACATTAAAGTATGGATTTAATGACAATTAAAGTGCAGATGACAATATTACACTTAGTAGCTCCCCAAGGTAGTGTTTGCCCAGCTCTGTTTGTTTTGAATTAAACTGGATAAGAGTTTTTCCACATCCTCCACTATTACTTATCACTTGTTGGAGCTGGATTCAGAAAAGCCTCATATTGAAAGAGTTGCATGTCTCCCATGGACTCTGCCCATACTGTAGAGGCTGATAAATGTTTGACCCAGCTCCAAGGCTAAAGTGATTTGCCAAAATAGCAGCTTAAGCTAGAGGTTATTCCAATGTAAATTCAATGTGACAAATGCTAAAGAGATTCTGGAACAACAAAAAGCCATATGCTGGAAAAACAAAATCAGAAAGGCAGATGCTCTCCTCAACTCTTACCACAAAAATCTGATTGTCAGTTTAAAACTAAGGCCACTCTGGAAAACAACAGTGCTAGAAGCAAAAGGCTGTGCAATATCTGCGTTAGAAGCTGAGGAGGGAAGCTAAACAGACCATGGCATGTGGCCGTTACAGGGCAGGGTGAGCTTGATGATGATGAGTTTAGTCCCTTCCTGCTAACCCAGTCCAGTGATTCTCAGCAACTCAGGTAATCAGTCCTCTCTTCCAAAATGCTCCAGGAAAAGCAAAATGCTTAAGAATTAATAATATTGCCACGCTTTCTTTATGTCATTAGATTAGCAAGGCAATTCTTGTACTCATTGTAGCCATTATTAAGGTCAGAATTATTAAGATGTAGATTTGCATTTACCATTGATTCAAAAAAATGATGTATGTGTTACAGTTCTTGGGGAGTATGAAGTCTGAGGATAAGAGCACCCTTCCACTTCAATAATGTAGGATCAAACGCCATGCAATTAATTTACCAGCACACTCTATTCAACACCACCTCCTCAATTACTGTTATCTCTTACATTGATAAGATAAAATTACTAACTTGCAAATGAGGTCAAGTGAATGAGATTCCTCCTTTTCTTTTCCTGCTTGCCAGTCCTGAGAAAAGGGAAAATCTCATCCTTTAGGGAGGAGTTTAATGTCATTTTAGATGCCCTAAGATGCCCCATCTGGCTTTCAGCTGCCTTTGGGGGGAGCAAGCTTTATGTAGGTTCTGATCACACATTGAGTCCCATACATGTCTTGGATACTCTCAGGTGTGAAGAATGACACTAGGTAACTCCATGTAGACAACTAACTGCCACCCTAACTTCTCAGAGCAAGAGACTCCAGACTTTGCAAGATGTCAGAAGAATTTTGCAAGGAGACTAAAATTAAAAATATTTATATATAATTTAATTCCTGAAATAGCATAAATAACATACTAGTAACCGCAGAAAACACCTGGATGGCACATGTAGTGTGCTACTGAACTATCTCATACTAGACTACTCAGGTTTGGAGAGCCCACTGTGTTTCTTTTTTTTTTGTTCAAGACTCAAATAAACCTGAACTTGAGCATTTTCAAGAAGTAACTGAAGCAAAAAAATAGCTTGTGATTTAAACTCGCTTGAGCCTCAGAAATGTTTCCTCTGCCGGTTATACAGCAAGGATGATGTGAGACGGGGATAACCAAATGGAGAGCTCTAGCCAGACCAGTGATGAGAGGATCACTTAAGCCACTCTGAGAAGGACTTGTTTTCTTACAGTGGTCCAAACATCACACGATGTGCAAAGCTGAAATGCAGTGTATTTCTTTTAAATTAGATGCTTATACCAGAGCAGAAGTTGTGTATGAATGGACACGGGAACCAGCAAGGTCAGTGGTTGTGGCTGAAGATGGCTCTCGATTGAACCAGTATGATCTGCTTGGACAAACTGTGGACTCTGGAATTGTTCAGTCCAGTACAGGTCTGTGAAAAAAGGGTGTCTGGGAAGGGTCATATTTAACTGTAAAACATAATTCAGAGCAGGACAAGAAACAGAAATATCAAAGAAGTGAGAGAAAATATAACATATCCTGGGATTATTTTCCTACTAAAACTGGTGGTTAAAAGATTTGAACAATGAAAAAGCTCCCTCTATAGTGACAGATCCAGCCAGAAAAAATAGTAATTTACATTATAAAGAAGCACTCCTCATGTCCTTATCATACTGTCTGCTTACTATGTAAGATTTAAAAGAGTATAACAATATGAATCCTCAAAGACCATATTCCTGGAGGCAGTGAAGTAAGTTGCTAAAAGCAAGCATAGAATTTCTCAATGAGGTATTAGAGTGAAAATAGTATGTCAACAAATTAAAATGCATCTGGAACATCCAAATAGGATAGCTACCTTAATGGTAGCACCAGATTTAACTCCAAAACTATTAATGAGATACAGAAATATAGCTGATGTCTATAGTATTATATACCTCTAACCTTGAAGCTGGCTAAAAACCTTTGCTTTTTTACTTTGCAGTTGTTGTTTTTCAAGATGTAGACTTTTTTTTTTTAAAAAAAAGAAAAGACACAAAGGCACAAAGATCTAAACACAGCATTAAGCATGAACAAGAGCTCAAAGTGTTTACTAGATTGACTGTTCAATGGACCAAAAGCACTCTAGTAGGAGAAGTAATTGTATTGCTTTGAGGGCACCCAATCTTGTGACTGAACTAGAGAATTACATTTTTGCCTGCATAAAACAAACTTTTTAATGTGTCATTCAAAAAGTCAATGAACATTTAAGGAAAAGTGTGTCAATTTAAGGTGAACAATAATTTGTTTCTGATTGTTTTATTTAGCTTGCCTATATATATATATACACACACATATTTTACATATGCTCTAGTAAGCCAACAAAATTTCTCACAGACAAAAGTTTGTAGTAGACCATTAAAGAATCTTTTTAGTACTAAACTTGAAATTCTCTTTAGTTACTACCTCATAAGAATATACAGTGGTGGAAGAAACAGATTTATTACTTGCAAATTTGATGTCTCTAGGAAAAATTCTTCTTAGTTTGCTTTGGAAAGAAAAATGCTTTGCCTTCCCTGAAATAATGGTGGGAATCAGAAGTGGTTAATAATAACTGTTCCTCATTCAGGTAGGTGTGCAGCTAGTCTCAACAGAATCCTTCAGAATATCTTTGTCCTCTGATCATCTCTGTTTAAAGATATAACATATGTAATGAAAATTAAGAAATCCCTCGCTGCTTTCAGAGGTGTGGATGATGACTCAGCTGACAGAAAGACAAAAGAGATTCAAGACAATCTTCACTTGAGTTCTCTGCACCATTATTAGGCAAGAAAGTGAAGCTCTGGTGCAGCTGATTCTGTGGATCATTAGAAGAATCTGCATTATCTTGGGCAATTTCAAAATTATAGGTAGAGTTGTCTGGAATTCTGGACACATACTTTCCAAGAATTTGGATGTAACTGGGTTACTCTAAACACTTTCAAAACTACTAAATGATTTAGTGAATTCTTTTTCCTTTTTCCTTTAGTTTCTTCCCTTGCTAGTAGTCCACTGGCTACACTTATTTCTGTATCTAGAACAAAATAATTATAAATACTGATTTTTTAAAAGAGAAGAGTATCTTGGAAGAATTTTTTTCTAGCATAGTTATTCATCTGAGCTAACAATGGAATGTGCAGGTACTACAAGGTTAAAAATTGTATTCAGTAAATGAAGTACTGATTATTGTTGTTGCTGTTCTGTTTAACCAGGGTCTCAACCATTTTTTGCTTGTAGGTAAAATTCCTGTCACTCTCCCGTTACTGACTTATATTGACCCAGAAAGAACTTAAGTGATCTTTTATCTACACACCTTAACAAATGCTTCAAGGGCTCGTGCAAATTTCTATTTACATAGAATCATTTTGCCACCTTGAAAACATTGGTTTGCACTGAGAACCATCAGGTTTTATACTCACAATTACGTTTTTATTTTCTGATGTGCCGTGTATCTGCTGGGAGAATGCCGTTCTTAAGAGCTTCTATATTGGGTTACATGGCATAAATAGAAAATGAGAAATACTTTGTTTTAAATTAATGTCAAGGAAAACCTTACTTCCTACCTACAGTGACAGAAAAAGTGTTATAGCTAAAACTCAGTCCCCATCTCAAACCTTATGTCTGATATGGTCCACATTAATTTTACGTGCTGACCTGATAACTTGGTCTATTACAAATAGTTTACAGAATACTGAGTAATAGGTTTGATGCAACTGTACTGAATTATCAGCTATTTTCTTCTAATCACACAGGATAGTTTACACAACTCGAGCATTTGACTCAATTATGGTGGTTTACTGTAGAATTAAGAGCTGGTTAAAAACTCCAGCTACAGAAGTGCTGAGCCCAGGCAGAAACTTCCAGAGCACTGGAAGTATTCAAGTGTGGGCAATCATTCAAAACACTAAATTAGTAGAGATGAAAGAGTTGGGTGACTACTTTTAAATGCTTTGTATTGTGTAATACATATAAACTAATTTAAACTTCATGGAATAAATAAAATGAAAAATAAATGTAGCTGCCCAATAGTTAGTTGTCGACTTTAGGAATTCCAAGGCAGCTAAAAAGAAACAGCTTTCAAAATTTTTTGAATAAGAGAATAAGAGGTAAGAGAATGTGAGCTTGCCTAGCTGCAACTTCTGCTACAACTTCTGCTACAACTTGTGAAAACCTAGTAATCAGATACTATGAACATCAGAAATATTTTGCACAAGAGCTATTTAAAATTTTAGCCTGTAAGGAATTTCATGACTGAATTACAAACCTTTTGAAAAGAGACTTACAGAGTCATTGCTGGGAAATTGGACAGTGGTCAGCAGCTGTTGTGAATGTGACTGTGCTTTTCAATTGAAGAAAGCCATAACATGTGGGAAGCTAAAGAATCAGTAAATAACTGCAGTACTTCCATGTCCTGCAGTTATTTAAATAAATCTCATCAAAGATCTGCTATCTTCTAATAAGTGACTGCAGTCCATTGGTACTTTAGAGAGTTAAAAACATGTTTTTACCTTGTAACTGAACTGCAGGTGTTATTCTGGGCCTATGATTTGCCTGATTCACTGCCCATAGCATTCCCTTTAGCTGACTTCTAGCTCATATCTTCTGCAGTGCTTAACAGATGAGAGAGTAATCCCTGGCTTTTTAATTGGCTTTATGCTTTGAGTCCTGTTCTCATTTTCCAGAGGTTAAAAATACTTTGATAATTTAAGCAGCTAAATAAAGCTTCAGAGTACAGTGGTGTCTTCACTCTGTATTCTGTATCACTGAATTAAGTCTGACATACAGTTGTGAACATTCTATATCTGATTGCATTAAAATAGCTTCCCACGTCATATTTTAGTAGATAAAATTAAATTATTGGCTCTTCTATCTAAGGCTGGCAGCCTTCATAAGATCATAATCTCTGGTACAGAGGAAAAGAAGATTGTGTGAGTGAAAGATAAAGAAAGGTGGTCAAAATTCAAGTAATGCCCACTATTCTACTGCTGCCAGTCCTATTTTTTAAATAAAATTTTCCTTTTATATCCTTTGCTTTACAACTCAAATTACAATTTATTATCTTTTTCCTCTTTGCTACTGCTTTTTATATTGAAACATGCCAGGAGTACTGTTGCATTATAAGCTTTCCTCAGGGTTATGCATTGAGCAAGACTGTTAAAATGAATGTTCTTCTAGACTCTGAATTAAAGAAGAGGGCATTTGATGTGCTCTGTGCATAAGCAGCCAATGTCTAGACATAGTTTTTCAATCCAATTTAAGCTTTTCCTGTACAAGAGAAACTTTCTCTTTCAACTGCCTACATTTTAAAATAGAATAACAGTAATTTCTCATGTCATCTCTAATCTAGACAGAGGTTTCCGTTCAGTTTTGTGCCCACCCTTCTTTCCTGAGATGTTTATTGCATAAGAAGAAACAATCTACTCAAAAAAAGTCCCAACAACAGGTTTTCTAGTCTTTTTAGAATGCAGTGTTTTTCAAAATCCATTTTTAAAGCTGTAAATAATGTTCTAAAATTGAGGCATTATTTGCTGTGCTCTGGCAGAAAAGGTATACAAAGTCAAATAAATACTTAAGATTCCTTTCAATTGCAATTGGAATACACCCTCAGTAGTAATGCAGACACAATCACATCAACAATTATATCTTAAACCTGGCTCGGCTGAAACACTTCAGAGTGTCTTCATTTAGTCTTTAAATTATGTTTACATGTGTATATTGCAGTGGTTTTCCATCTTCTAATGGAATAAGGCCTTTCACAGGAGGCCTAAACAGCCACCAGTTAACGCAGACTTTCATCGACTACTCAGAGATGAAAAGATGTCATTTTAATTAACATTTCCCAGAACTGTTTAGTTTTGTATTATTAGTGGAACTTGTAAGTGTGCCTTACTAAATGTTTTTTTCAGAGCTGACCTAATTTTATCTGAGGACTGTTTGGGGTTTTTTTTAACAATAGAGGTTAATATTATGAAAAAATACTTTCTCTGATTTGTATATCTACGAAAGCTTAATGTTCCTGTTTTTCTTATTTTTAGGAGAATATGTTGTTATGACTACACATTTTCATTTGAAGAGAAAGATTGGTTACTTTGTGATCCAGACTTACCTGCCATGCATCATGACAGTGATACTGTCACAGGTGTCCTTCTGGCTTAATAGAGAATCTGTTCCAGCAAGAACTGTATTTGGTAAGCAAGACCTATAAACCACTTGGCAATCTTAAGCCAGATAGGTTTAAGAAATTTTACGGTAAAACTAGTTATGTGTAACACGATACTGGAGAACAGCCTTGGACACAGTGCCCTGCACAACAATTAACACATTTCATTGCAAAGATGTAGCAGAAGCTGATTTAGTGTTCAAAGGCTTTCCAGTGTTTAATAGAGTGCTATGCAGCTTACAAGGCCTGATGTTAAGGAACACACACACTCTGAAATTGTTGTTGATTAAGAGCTGTTTTGACTGACCTTTTTCGGAACTCTTTCCAGCTGTGCTTTAGTTTCCCAGTGCCCTTGAAAATCAATTACAACTTGCATAGCCTTAGACCTCATGAACAAATAGAGGCTTTCTGTAGATATATAGATGTGTATGTACAGAAGAATAGTTTAGACCATGGTATAATTTTGATTTAGATAATATTGTTCATATTAACATCTAAAATTAGTTCTGAATTTTTATCATCAACTTTACTATGAATTAGCCTGGGACTTTTATGGGCCTCTGTAGTCAAAGCTATTGAAATTGTAAGTATTTTACCTCTTCTTGCAAATAGTATTTAAAATGAATTGTCAGATAATCAGTTGAAATGCTGTACATCATTGTGCCTTGGTGGAGAGCAAAATTTCCTACTCTGACAATGAATAATATATAATATTGCTTGAAGCTGAACCTGCTATGTGTACAGGCTCAAGAGTCCCCACATTTCAGAAAGCTTTCCTTTTTTAAGACAGTTATTTTGAAAATAGTTTTGTGTTTACTCCACCATTATGTTTCAAGATAGCTTTTTCATTTCTTAATTGCAGCAAAACAATGTTTCAGAAAATTGTGCAGAAGCACAACTGCCATCTTTTAGTCTACTTCCAACCACAGATAATAAAAATTATAAATTATGTTTTGCTACTATGTAAGAGAAACACAAACTCACAAGTGATGAGACAAAGACAAGATAAGATTGTGTCTCAGGAAAGAGAAATTTCTTCCTCATTAAGCACTAATAATTCAAACTCTTTACACTGCATGTAGATCCACTGTTCATTATTTTGCCTGCTTTAAACCACTGCACATTTTCCCTAACACTCAGCACAGAGAAGATGAACCTGCAAGACACATTCAATACATGACATTGCAGTTGTCAAGGTAACTTGTGGACATGTGATTTGATGTAAATGTCTCGCAGCTGCAGATTTTTTATTTTTTTGTTTCCAAGCAGCTGCAAGTAGAGTGAGTTCAGTACAGCCCTGCTTGCTCTCTGTGGCCAGTTAAAGGAAAAGGTTCATCATCAGTGAGAAGCTCTCATCTCAGAAATTCAAATTATATTTTCATTGTTCTTACATTAATTCTTTGCTATTTAAAGGCATCAGTAAATAAAGGAACAGAGAGCTGTAAAACCATCAATTCAAGTGAATGTAATAATCACATAAAGCTTAGTGTATTAGAGTATACATTTGAAGGAGCTTATACCAAATAAGCTTAATAAAAACCACAAGTTTTTTAGTTTTCTAAACCAAAAAGTATCTTAGAACTGTTGCAAGAAAGAACTAAAAATGTTAAACTGTTACATGGGTAGGACAGTTTTCAGGGCATGAATAAGGAACAGTGACAATGCTTCTCCAAATACAAGGAAGCAAAGTAGTATAAAGTCGACAGCTCTAAATACTATTTCCATCCAACTTTAAAAATATTACTCTATTATAACAGTATCAAAGAATAAAAGTAAAATCCTGCAACTTCCACAGAACTTGAAATCTGATATCCTCGATTAGCAACTGAAGTGTGAGAACTAGGTGGGAAAGCAAGTCTTTCCCATCTATTGTAGCAGAGAAAGGAAGCACAAAATACAGCCACTAATCTAAAGACACTGTTTGCTTTGCAGGAGTGACAACCGTCCTGACAATGACTACTCTGAGCATCAGTGCAAGGAATTCTCTCCCCAAGGTGGCCTATGCTACTGCTATGGATTGGTTTATAGCAGTGTGCTATGCCTTTGTGTTTTCTGCACTCATCGAATTTGCAACAGTGAATTACTTCACAAAGAGAGGCTACGCATGGGATGGCAAAAGCGTTGTTCCCGAAAAGGTAACACCACTTAATATCTATCCCAACAGGTCATACTGTGTCATGTTTGGTCACTGCATCGGTTTTTTTATTTGTTCTGAGGGAAGCATTGGCAGTTTTGTTGGGAGTACATACCTCTATGCATGCAGTAGAAGAACATCACACTGACTCCCTTTGGTGTGGGATCAGACCTAGTCTGTAAATCACAGGTGCTTCAAGAAAATGTTCAAGACATATCAAAGATAAAAGAGAAAGTTTCCTATTTCCAATGAGTTATCAAATCAGCTGCTTCTGTGAGGAAGCTCATTTGGTTTGTAGTTTTGGGTTTGTTTTTTTTTAAAAAAAAAGAAAGAGATTTTGAGAGTTTTTACTTGCCTAATTGGGTATTACGAACATCCACAGACTAGAAATTCAGAAGAACAAATATTTGGAGGAGCAGATGTTACTCATTGATTCCTGAATATACGTGCTTAATTCAGGAGTGCATAGCTTTTCTTTTCTTTTGCTATTTAAGTTGCATGAGTCAGTGAGAAAAAAGAAATAAAATTAGGACATTTACACAATGAAAATTAATATAAAAGTATTGTATAACAAATGAGTAAAGTAACAAAAGAAACTTAGAGTAATGAGCTGCACGACTGCTGGTGAATACTGGGTTTTCAGTTACTGATGATACTTTCATTGAAGATAATTGGTTTGATTCTTTGTTGTGCTCCTACCTTCACGATATCTGTTGTGAAAAATGGGCAGTATTAAACAAAATCCTTAAATATTAAATATAACCTTATCAATATAAATGACCTTGTAACATAGTTCTTATAATCGACCATTTAATCTTTTTTAAAGAAAATCACATTTTCAGAAAAAGACACATCAATAGAAACACAATATACAAACACTGTTTAAAACAGGAAGATTTATGGCTTTGCATTTCCTGACAGGCAAGGGTCTTTATGTGTCATTTGCTACAAGTCAGCAAAGACACACCAGTCTGCATTATCTGCAGACGTAAGGAAAGGCAAGCAGGGCAAACTGTCAGTGAACAGAGCATTTCAGCCTAATAAAATTTAGAGCTCTAATTCGCTGTCATGTTACTTTTTCAGAAAGTTGAATTTTACGTGAAATATTAAGACCCTTGCTGGTATCAGGACTTTGTGTGGATTAGACTCCTCATGACATTTAAATCTATAGAAGGGGTCTTCTCTGAGACTTCTGTGAAGCAGCTCTTTGCCTGCTGGATTTATTGCTGCTCTCTAGAGTATCTGGCTGAGAAGAAAACTGGACTGGCTTCTTAGGCAGCAAGCATGTTAGCAGCTCATTAGCAGCCTCTAGCTCAGAAGGAAAAGAATGGACAGACAACTAAAAAATCTTCAGTGTTTTTTCAGCCTGTTTGTTCCTCCCATTCAGCAGAAATATTCTGAGACAATTTGAAGCTTTTTATTAGCCGTAAGCTAAGCTGAATATTATTTTCATGAAATAAACAGTATCTACGTCAGAGTCATCATGTGAATCCCTTTTCTTACTAAGTGGCAGAAATGTAACATTTCAGCCTTCCTTCCCTTCCTGAATGGGGCACCAGCTTTTGCTTAGATAAGGCTCTTCCCACTTGGCCTGATGCTTTTGCAGCCTCAAGTGTCCAGCAGGAGCATATCTGCTCCCTGAAATGTTCACCGTTTGAACAAGAACTTTTTACCAAAGCCCCCCTACTGGGTCATCTATATAGTTATTAAACTATAGTTGATCTGTAATAAAAAGCACTGTGACTGCTTTTAAAAACTGTGGAACAGCTGCTTCTTGAAAACAGATAATTCTATTTTATATCTTATGAAATGACATAATAGATCATACTCTGCTATTTTCACTTTAGATGTATTTATTTTTCTTCTAAAAGGATAAAATGGATAACATTTGCCTACTGTTTTCATGTGACAAGTACTGCCTAAAGATTTTCTAAGCTCTTGAGATTTTTTTGTTGTTTTTCTCATAAACAGAGGAACTTGAAGCAAAGTGATGCTCTTCCTTACACCTCCTTAGCAGCCCACTACATCTCTCTCCTATGTTTACTTTTGTGTGGTGGCTGGAGGAAGGGTTTGGACTGTCTGCAACAGAGATAGTTGAATTCCAACTAGCAACCCCCGATTTCAAAATATTATTTTTCTTTCTTACAAGTTGATCCCAGAAGTAGAATACTAGAAAATTTAAGGATCCAGGGGAAAACTCTAGATATTCTTTGTGATCAGTAAGTTCTTCTCTGCTGAAAGATTTTGCATACTTTCTTGCTTTAGCAATAGAGGTAGGTGGGTGCAAAACTCATACAGCTATTTAAATCCCTATGTGTGGAAAGACAGTTCAGCCATTATGATCCAATTGTAGTATTCAAACAAGAACATTAAGTATCTCTGCCATAATGCATATGCTTTTAGTGTAAACTGCTAGCAAATAGAATACTGGCAGCTTTGCATTTTATGGAATAATCTACTCTTTTACTGCATGGTTGCACGATACTTTTGTATGTTTTTATGCATGAAGTGTGTTAGAATGCATAATATAACATTCTTTGTCTTAATACTGGAAAGCTACATAAAGAAATTCGGTATCTTTTACATTTTTTCTTCTGGTAAAAAAGTACAGTTGATCAAGGGAATATTGAACTTTGAGTGGTTTGTCACTGTTGTTTACCATTAAAGATAATTTTATCAGTGATCCTAGCTATCAGTATAAGTCCTCATAATTTGCCCATAATCTACTTTGGTTTAATTAATACAAGTAAAGGAGATAAGGGATTTTGTCTTTACCTAAATATTTTGCATGCATTTAATTTCCAGATACTAATTTCTTTCTTACAGCTTATTATTACTTATGGTAATTGCAACATTTTATGGTGCTTTCTCATAAGCTGTTGTGAAGACCATGAGAATAAAACATTTTCTTATTTCTTCAGCCAAAGAAAGTGAAGGATCCTCTCATTAAGAAAAATAACACGTACACAGCTGCAGCTACGAGCTACACCCCTAACATTGCAAGGGACCCTGGGCTGGCAACCATTGCTAAAAGTGCAACAATTGAGCCCAAAGAAGTTAAGCCAGAAACAAAACCTGCAGAACCCAAGAAAACTTTTAACAGCGTCAGTAAAATTGATCGACTATCAAGAATAGCCTTCCCACTGCTTTTTGGAATCTTTAACTTAGTCTATTGGGCTACCTATTTAAACCGGGAGCCCCAGTTGAAAGCTCCAACTCCACATCAATAACCTCATTTATTTGTATAGTTCTGTTTTGTCTTTTGCTTTGGGAATTGCTTCCTGTTTTCACATACAATGATTCCCATTTGCTTCATTGCCTCTGTCTTAAAGAGAATAAAGGCTTATTTATTTTAACAAAAGGTAAAATATATCTATGTATTTAAAAAACTGTGTGAGGGAGAGAACAATATAAATTGTATACTTTGGAGAAGTGTTTCTGAAAATGGGAGAGTTGTGGAGTAATGGGTGGGGGGAGAAATAAAGGCAACCCTTTGTAGATAGCTCAGTACTGAACGTCCACAAAAGGTATGTATATGTACATGAAAAAGATATTTTTATCCAAACAATTGCGGGGAGTGGGGAAACATCCTTTATGTCCTTACTGATGCACATACTATACCATACAATTTATTAAACCACTGTTTATAATATTTTCAAGGATGCAAAGCTTTCCATTTGCTGAATCCCATAAAGTGTGTTATTTTCCTAATCCCTTTTCTCTTCTATATTCCAAACCATCTGACTTATAATATTAAATGGTCTTTAAAGGAAAAAGGAGATCATCTCACTCTAGGTACGGTTTGTCACTGTATAGCACATAAGAGCTAATGGTAACCAATGCTTTAGTCTGCTGTCTTACTGCAGTCTTGTTCTAAGCATTAAGTTGTCACTAGACTAGGTTTAAAACCAATTGCACAACCAAGTGCACATCGCAACTTCCCTCTATCACCTGTGTAATCCAAACCACTCCTGGATGCTTTTAAAGATAGCTTTTACTCATCACTATGTTTTAGAGTTAAAAAACCCCAACAAACCAACAATTTTTGCAAGCTCTAGATATGTTGAATGTATTCTTTTATAAAATGATACATGAAAAAGAAGCTTTAGATTGAGATTTATGGATAGCAGAAAGACAAAATATAGTATTTAAATAACATATGTAAATATGCAGCATGAGATTGTACATTTTTTACTTTTTTAAAGTTGTGTTCTTAAACCATTGTGTAGGATTCACCTCTTAGCTCTTAATATGTTGTTAAATGCTCAATAAAACATATTTAGAGCCTGAATACATGAAAAAAGAAGTGGTACTGGAAAGACCAAAAAAATAAATACACAGAAAGTGCTCGGAAGTAATTAAATTTGTAAAGTGTTTAAGTGTACAGTAGCTTGCAATTCTACAACATCATCCAATGTATACTATTAGATTAATGACTGGTCTGCTCAGGTCATGCATAAATACTAAAGTATGGAATTATATTTGGTAGGTAAAAATGGTGAAATATTTGTTAAGACAGAAGTTCATCTGTATATTACTGCTATATTTACTGATACATAACTGTTACAATAAGTGATGTAATATATGTAGCATTAAATACAAAAAGTCATACATAAAAGAATGTACAGGAAAATAGATTTTATTGAGTAAACTTACTAAATTTCATTTTTACTGTAGCAATATATTTGTAGGAACAATATGTAAGGGCTTTAAATACAAGATGTCCATTTTGCAGGTATTGCGCTCCCTTTAAAAAGATTCTAGTCAGTATCATTACTGCTGATTCTTAGAAATAAAATTTCAGGTAAAAATTCTTCAGTGAGATGGGAAGAATGGTGGATATTTGCAAGCAATCAATTTAAAAAAGTAATACATGGTATTAAATTAATTTTAAAACAATGCTACATGAGCCTCCAGAGAGACAGCTACTTAGAGTCAAATTTCATAAGCAATGTTTTCTAAACTCTTTCTCAATAAATCAAAAAGTTGACATTCTCTCTCTACAAAAGGAAATAGTTAATGTTTTATTTGGAAAATATTTTTTAAAAATAATGCTTCATTGTCTGACATTTAGTCCTGTCTAAACTTGATAAGTTATCTGATTGGAGCTTATTACAAGGGGATGTTTCATCTTCTGGTAAAATGTGTAGATATATGTATAGAAAAAAATAAACTATGGCTCTTTAACTTCTGTGTACTTGTTTATCTTGTTATTTTTGGCGTTAAAACTAGTGTGTTCATTTAGGACATTTTATCTTTCTAGCAATTCATAGCTACCTTTTGGTCTGCATTTTGCACATTAGATGTGAATATTACTTAACTAGTCTGCTTTTTGCTATGCAATGACTGCATTATATCACCTCTTAGTTAGTCTATGCCAATAGTATTATACTGTATAAACTTGATTGCACAGTTTATCAAAGACAAGGTATTCTCTATGTAGCTTTTTTACAATGCTTTGCTAAACCATGTAATAATAGTAAGTCTTCCTTGAAAATAATGATACACTCTTATAGAGGACAGTTTCTGTTTACTCCTGGGATAATTTTAAAAAGATGACATTGAATGTTTATTGCACCTCAGTGCAGTGATGTGGCAATAAAACCTAAATCAAATAGAGGTTGTTTATGGCAGAAGCATGTATTGCTTTACAGAGTTTAGCAAAAGCTCTTTATTTTATGTCAGACTGTAATTCTATTATAATAATAAAGCTAAAAATGTTCAATAATGAAAGTGAATGTTTTACTTTGGTTTTCTTTAGCTATGGCCTTTTATGACACATTGCTTGATAAACTGCTATTCATTCAAAAACTTAGTTTCTGTGGATTTGGTAATGAATGCAGTTTTAATAGATATAATTTTCTGTCTACTGTTTTCCAGGGACAAATATAACAACAGGAATGTTTCTGAAATCTGATTTGACTTTCAAGAAAAGATTTCAGTCTGTCCAATGCATATTCAGTAAAGCAATTAACTGTATCAGATGAACAATTGTTAAGGTTTAGTACTACAGCAATTAATAAGATTTAGGGTAGTAACAGAATATTATGCATTGGCTCCCAGATAAAATGGCAGATAAACCAGTGAGTGAGAGTAAAAATGTGGGTATTTACATTACAGATTTCACCGTTTAAATAAAGGCACAGGTCTAAGAAAGGCTTACAGGTGTAAGAAGAGAACCTCAGACTGTAGAAAATAGTATTTCACTTATTTAATGAATTGTGGGAATAGCATTAAAACAAGCATATGTGTACATTGAAAATGTCAATTCCCAGCTCATCATTTTTTCCCACATAGGAAAATACAGAGAGAGAAAAAGTCATTCCAGTGCCTTCAGCCCTCAGATTTTCTTGGGGAAGCTCCTAAAAAGCAAAGCTCATGCTTCTACGTAGGGGAGACAACCAATTGCAGACATGCAGTTTTGAGAAGATCCAAAGCAGACTGATAAAAGTGTATATATGTATATTAAAAAATCATTGGTGTTCTTAAGTGTGAGTCTTACAGAAGGATTCTTCAAAATGGAAGGAAAGACTGTCAAAAAAGATTCTAGTTATATTAACTTCTTATACTTTCCTCTATTTTGAATGAAAATAATGCAGTCTGAATCCATGTTCCTTGCCTCCTACTACTAACTTCACAGAGTTGAATCCATATGGAGACCCAGAGAAGATTTCTTGAAGGATCATGGTAAAGAAAGTGGCGCATGACTCTTAACACCCACTTCCTATGTTCCCGTGCCAGATGCAGAGCATATGTGGGGATTCTCACACCTTCTTTGTCACTGCTCACACATTTTTAGGCAGAATTTTATTCAAGTAAAAGGAGTGAAAATGTCTAGATGCAACAGGATTTGACTCAGAAAAATAAATAGCACTATCCAGCTTCACAGAGTGGAAGAACGGCCTCATCAGATGACAGATTCACAGTCACCACACAGTCAGCATGACCCCCTGACACGACATTGCTACATTTGCTCTGTATCACATCAGTAGGGGAAACTGCTCCAGTTTTCCTTGGATCCCTAGAAGGTACTGCAGGACTTCCTTAGTGACCAAGAACGCTTTTTACAACACCAACAACTTTCTTAATTATATTCTTTCTCTTGGACTATGTGAGACCTGAGAAAACTGCTTTCCTTTTCTCTCTCCTATTTTTCACCAATACAGTAAATCACAAAAGCTTATGAAACATCCTAACGGCTAGAAAATGGGGCACACATGCTTCAGGGAGCAAATAATAAAGGAACCTCTTTCAGCCTGGTTTTGTATCTGAATGACTGTCCAAATAAATTAGTGTGACTGGGAAAAGTCAAACTATTTCTTAGAGGCTGTAAAAATATCAGTCATAACTTAAAAGATAAAAACTCAAGATTTCTCCAGACTTTCTATAGCAGATCCACAGAAGAAAAAAATATCCCCCTGCTATACGTAAATATGACATAGCTTAAATAAAAATGTGTTTGCAGTTTTAGCACAGGAATTTTGTAAGTGAAGTGTATAATCAACTTGTCAAGATGTTGCTGTCATGTTACATCTGATTACAAACTACATCAAATACAACAAGTGAGGTAAAAGCCCTGAAATCACAAGTTTCACTCTGCCCATAGGAATATCCAAACACTAGGATGACTTCAAGCCGCTGAGAAACTTTTTATTAAATGCTTTAGGGCATTTGAAGATGCTCTGAGTAGATTTTGCATTTGCAGCACAGCTGTTACACTCATTCCACCCAGAGACAAGAGACATTTCCCCTCAAAAACCTGCAGACAGACCAACCAACAAAGGGCACTGCTTTTCTGGATGTGCTGTCAAGCGAGGAAAGATGGATCTCCAACCAAGATATGAAAATTTATTTCCAAATGTCCTCATATACGAAGTATTTAATTAACCTCAAGTTGTAAAAGCCTAAGGATCGGAACCAGGCCTAAAAGGCTAAACTTGTTTAGAAGTGGTTTGCTAATGGCTGTCCAGAATGCATGTCTTTGCTACATGGTAGTTTTACATGTATGAATCATTGTCTTAATACTAGGTGCCTGAAATGGCTCATAGAAAAAAAAATAATTTAGCTTCTATGTGATTAACGCAACTTTTTATAAAACCCCACATACATAGAGCTCCTATTCTATTACCACCCATAGCAGCAGAACCACACTTCTAGACACATCATTTATAAGCTTCTGGAATTGCTCTACATTGGAGTGATATTTATCAAAGCAACACATTTATTGCAAGGATATGAACAATTCCAGAAAAAAAATTAAACAGAAGAAAATATTTTGTGGTCATGTAATACCAAAAATAAAATCAAGTGAAGCTGTGACAGAAAGATCTTGCTCTTGAAATAAATTTTTTATTAAATACCTTACAAAACCAAACTGGATTTCAGCCAAGAATCTTTTAAAGTCATGCACCTTTTGAATAAAAGAAAAACAATAGAGCTTGCATTAAGACATTGTGAATTGTTAGGACCTGCTGTACTGACATAGATTTAAGAAAGAAAAATAACTTTTTTTCAGTTAAACATAATAAATTGAATGAAGAGGCCATCTCCTTTTTGGACAAAATTGGTAAATACAATAGCTTCCGGAAGGACTTCAGACAAGGCTTTCTCTTTGAGTTTCTTTTTCAGCAAAACCCCATGAAATTCAACTTCGTTTTAAGCTTTTTCCCATTTGAGGAGCTAAGGCAGGCATGAAGAGGTGAGGGACTAATGGTGCATATCTCAGGAAATAACAGCATGGGAGTCTTGGATCAAACAATAGTTTTAATATGGCAACATGAAATATTTTTGTAACTACACATAATGCTCATCTAAGCCTCATACAACAAAATAATATGCTGATTAATGTAAAACTTTGTGGGCTTGATAGAATTTTGTCTCTTAAGTGAGACAGCTAAATAAATCTGTAAAGAAAACTGCTACACAGAGCTGTTCAGAAGGCAATAGCTACTGTCAATCAGCCTGTTGATTTCTCCACATTCCTATCACCTGCCTAGCTTACCTCACCAGCACTAGATTTGTACGGAACTGGCTAATGAAAACCAAGCAAAATGGGGCCTCAGGTCACTAGGACCTTTCCCAGCTTGTTTGTGATTGCCTTCTCTCCTAACTATCTTGTTTGTGGGAAGATGAAGAAAACATATATAACTGGATCAACACATGCCATCTCAACAGTTTAAATGGATGCAGTGTGTATTAAGAGTAATATTAATTAAGAGTATTAGCCGGCTGCAAAGCCAGAATTTTCTCACCATAATGTCTTCCCCCAAAAGACAGCCAGATTC